CAGGAGAGCTGTCCCAACCACTGCTAAGCCCGCAAGGGTGCTGCTGCCCAGCCCCTATGGGAAACTGCCCACACAGGTGGCCTTCTCCTGCTGTCTACTGCAATGTCCCGTCCCTCTTATGCAAGGAAAGTCTGTGTGCTCTTTTACCAGCAGTGGCCCAGGGAGGGGCCCAAGGCTGAGCCGGGCTCTCCCAGAGTCTGGACCACGTCCACCCTCCACACGGCTGGACGGAAGCCATTTCCAAGGACAGCAACATCCTCACTTGTGGGAGAGCAGACCCACCAGATTCCTGGATTTGATCTCCTGGGTGGAGATGCATCCAGTCCCAGCCAAGCACTGGGTCAATACAGTATTTCCCTTCACTTTGAGTCTTTTTTTAAAAATCCATCCATCCGTTCATTCATTCATTGCTCAGTGTCAGGATATATTGGTGATCCAAACAGACCTAACCCCTTACTTCAGAGGAACAGACATTGCATAATGAATTATGCAGTTATTTAGTAAGTGTGCTGTTCTACGAGTGTGAATGGCCAAGTGTCAGTGGGAGGTTAGTTCTAGCTCCTAACTGTGCCTGTGACTCCACCCTTTAGAGTTAAGGGTGGTATCAAAATATTTAACAACTGGAACAGCAAAGGCTTTGGCCAGCAGGATGAGTTTTAGCCATGGACAACCACAGCAGTACCTGAGGGCTGAGCGGGGGCAGTCCAGTGACCTTCTTGTGCCTTGACCCTGCTATAGCCCCTTTTCTACGAAGAGAAAGACCCTTGTTCTCAAACAGTATGAAACCAGCCTCTCTGGAGCCTTTGAAAGCTGTTGCTCTTCCTGTATGCTGTACCCTTGATTTCCGCACTGCATCTGGGCAGCCTGATAGGGACCCGTGCTCCTCCTTGGTAAGGCGAGGACATACCCGTCCCCCTCACTTGAGATACAGCATGGAGTGAGAGCCCTGTGTGCTGAAGGACTTGCCTAGTTCTGAGGCTGGGAAGACCTAGAGGACTGAATGGAAGAGGGAGGAAGGGTGCACAGGATGCGGCATCCCAGTGGAATACTGTGGAGGGGACTCACCTCTCAGGTGCACCTGAAACCCAAATAACTGGAGATGTTTCAGACCCAAGAATTCTGGACTGCCCACAAACACCTGTTGCAGATGCCACATTCCTCTTTCCTCGCACCTAAGAAGCTGGGGAGGTTGAGAGGGGGTTGTCACATCTCCAGAGCTGGACTTGGCACGGGTCAGGGCTAGCTGGGAGGCAGCCCCGTTTCTCCAGAACTCAAACCCATCTCCTTCCCGTGGGCACTATCCCATCCAGGAGCTGGAGAGGAGCACACGAGCAGCCACACTGGCAGGGCCGAGGACTAGCTGTCACACAGGGCCATGGTGCACCCACCATGCCTACACCCAGCTCCTTACCACAGGCACCATCCCATCCTGGAGCTAGAGAAACGCAGGAGCAGCCACGCTCACAGAGCCCAGGATCAGCCTTCACCACAGGTTTCCCACTCCAGAGCCTGCACCCGGCTCCTTTCCTGGACCCCACCCTATCCTGGAGTTGAAGCAGAGAACTGGGGTATGTACAGAGCCTGGGAGCAGCCCTTACCACTGGGTCCCCAAGCACCATGCCTGCAGTGCCATTTGGGAGAACATGGAAGGTAAAAAGGCACCAGGGACCTCAGGGCTGCCCCACTTGTGCAGTGGGTGGAGGGGTGGAAGGGAGCTGTGAGATGTCAGACCGCAGGGACCTGTGCCAGAGGCCCAGTGGACACAGACACAGATGAAGCCCTCTCCGAACCCACCACTAGACACCCTTCTGAGAAAGACGAATTGGCAGATGCTAGCACAATGTCCAGTTTACAGATGAGGAAAACAGATTCTGTGATAAAGAGAATTTATTTTCTTTCTGAGCCAGGAAAACTACTTATTTCCTACTTAAGATGAAGTGAACAGACTGGCACAGTGGCCTTCCTGGGTCATTGGAGAAATGATTCTGAAACGCTTTTCTTGTTGACAGTGTGTGTGCCTACCCAGGGCAGCCAGGTGCTCAGGCTCACCCCAAGGTGGGACTTCAGTGAGTATGGGCTCCACTCCCAGAGAGACCCAAGCAGCCCACCCTGGGCTGTATTCCTCATGCACTTCACTGTTGTCCTGCTCCAGTGCCTCAGTACAAAGGAGCCTGCCAGCACGAGGCCTGTCCCGTGGCCACAGCAGAAACGACAACCACTTGAGCACACTCCTGTCACCCCAGGTCTGCTCACAGGGTAAATACACATAATAAAAGTTGTAGAAAAAAATGGATTAACTTCAGTGATTAGGCACCAACAGTGATTTGAAAAATGAAATGTCAGTTTTAAATGGTACCAAGTCAAGAACTTAAGACGGGGCTTCTCGCCCATTTTCTCTTAAGGAGAAACCAAACATTCTGTACAAAATGATTCTAAACAGCAAGATACAAGTAGCCAACAAATAAACACAAGAACACACACTGCCGGACTGAATATGCCAGCCTGACTCTGCAGTGGGCTCTCAGCAGGCAGACGGCCATTGTCCCAGGCCCCAGGGGCCTGGTGTATCCCAGAATGATGCCCTTAGTGCTCTGCAGGTCAGCCTCCCCTCCCCCACACTTCCTAGATCAAGGCCCAGGCCCAGAACGGCAGTGCTCACTTCCCTGTCCTGCATCTCCCTGGAGGTCACAGTCATGCCGGTGGTGCTGTGCCAGGGCCTGGGACTGAGATGACAGCCTCACCGCATGCTGAAGGACCACAAGGCAGACTGCAGCTGAGCCTATGATCCCACAACCAGAATGGTTGTGCTTCTGCCGTAGGAATGCGGTCCGTTTGACTAGTTTGAACTAAAGAAGTTGTCCATATCAAGCCAGGGAGGGACTGGCTAATTGGCCAAAGCTCTGGTGTTGCTCATCCCTCGTGATGCAGAGCCTCCAGAAAGAAGTAACAGAGCAAGGAGCTCCCCGAGACCAGTAGAGCCTCAGCCTAGGAAGGGGCCAGAAAATATCAAATCCAACTACCCACTCCACAGATGGAAAAGCAAGGTCCTAGGGAGATGTCCTTGCCCCTGCTTCTCATTGTTCCCACCTGACTGCTCTCTAACTTTGCAGGTGGTGGGGGTGGGTGAAGAAGGCTCCCCTGGAGAGCCCAGCAGGACAAGCCCTCATGTGAGTTGCACTGGCTGAGGTGTCCCTTTTTGGGGTCTCACTCATGGCCAGGCCACCAGGGGAGGTGGACTTTAACCTCATGATAGGTCCAAGGACCCTGTATTAAGCTGAGTTGACTTTTCCTTCTGGGCTGGTGGGTGGAGGGGTGGATACACGCTAGACATGACTGGAGTTCAGGCTTGGGAATAGAGCTCTGCTTCCAATAGGCCCGTGTCCTCTTCTCTTGCCCTTCTTTCCATCTCCACCCTAATCTCACCCTCAGGGTTTTGGTGGTCACAGGAACCAAGAGCTAGAAGGAACCCCTCTGGAGATGGGACTTCAACACCTCAGTCTCTGAAGCCTCCACCAGGTTCATGCACGCCATGCACACTCAGAACACGCAGCACTTTCTCAGCAGCCTGGGATCAACAGGGAAGGTGACTGGGCTGGGAACTGAGATCAATACTGGGCCCCATTGTAGTCAGCTGGGGACAGGGAACAGCAGTTAAGAGCTGCGCTGTATGGGGTCTCTTGCAGAGGACCTTACAGGGACACAGTCAGGGCTGGGCCAGTCATCCAGCACCCTGCACACTCTGCCCAGTGTGGCCACCCGGCCATCAGCATTCCAGCTGTGGGAGCACAAAGGCCCGGCCCCTGCAGTTCTGAGCAGCTGGACCTGCACTCGAAAGTCCCTTTGGTCCCTCAGCACAAGGCTTTTCCAGTCTGTCGTTCCTTCTTCCTCCACTGCACCCTGGCCCTGCCCTCCTTCCCTATAAAAATCTGACCTAACTTCCTCTCAAGCCTAACTCAGGCACCCCTTGTCCTAAAAAACACCTTCTCTGCCTCCACTCCCTGAGGAGTTTCCACTTTCTGGGCACCCCATCAGCATCTTCAGTCCATCTTGGCCATCACCACTGTCTGTGTCCTTGTCCTTTCCCTCACTGATGTGACCTTGTCAAGTTTGGGAAAAGGTCTGATAGACTCCTGTGTCCTCAGTGCCTAAGACCGGGGCCTGGCCACCTGAGCCAGGGGAGAGGGCTCCTGCTGAGGGGTAGATCCCCAGAAGCTGACCAGGCCCCTGGTCTGGTGAAGTGTGGCACTCACAGGTGCTGACAGGGTGTGGAGGCCGCCTCCATCAAACCCTGTAGGCAGTCATTTTTTGGAGGAGGAAAGTCTATTCACCCCAAGGTAGGTTGAAGTGTCTGCTCTGCCCTGTTCATTCTGAAACTCTTAATGTTTTCCCTTCCTTTTGCCTTTCCCTCTCTGCGTCTCCTACCCGGGAGCAGCTGCCATACTCTGGCCTCAGTCTGAAAGTGGGAGACCCTGCAGTAAGAGCTGCCTTGCTGGGTCTAAGGATCTAATTCCTTTGCTTCTCAAGACCACCTTTAACCTTCCTTCTCAACTATCCCAACGTCTGATGGCCTTGCCTCTCCCGACCAAAAAAATGCCAGGGCTGAAAAGGTCCATGTCCACTGTGGCCTGCGGGCCTTGGGTCCCAGGGTCAGCAGGGTAGCTCCTCATGTTCCAGGATTGAGGGGAACAGCCCAAAGGCTAGAGGGAAGAGGCTGAGGACCGTAAGCGAAGTGTGAGTGTGGAAATCTGTTGGGAGCCTGGGACTGAGGAGCAGGAAGAGACTGAGGATGCTTGCTGGCAACCGCTCCTAGCAAGGGGGTGAAGGTGGGGACCACAGCCAGCCAAAGGCAGACGTGGGCCCCGAGTAGGCAGAGGATGTGCCTGGATCAGGCCTCTGCTCTCTGGATAAGGGATGCGGTCCCTGATACCACAGAGCTGTAGAGTGTGGAGGAGCAGCTCTGAAGCACTGTCCTGGCCCCGCTCTGGTTTTGGTGGCCCAAGTCACAGCTTGGCACCCCTGGGAGGCTCCAAGGACTGCCGCAGGCACATCTGTTCATGCATGGTCTTCTGCAGGGCCCAGGTCTTCTCCAGATCCACCTGGACATAGTCCACCTTCTCGCCGGACGTGACAGAGCCTATGGATGACTGAGGGACAGAGGGTGGAAGTGGGAGTGGGAGTGTCTGTGAGTTCCTGGTGAGGAAGGACAGGCTGAGGAGGGGGCTCTCCCCAACTGTCTCAGGGGGAAAGCAACCTCCGCCTCCTGCTCTCAGCAGCCTGTGGGGCCTGGGCTTTAAAGCCTCAACTCCAGGCTAACCTCTCCTGCTGCTGGATGCCACAGCCCTGCCAGCACTTCTCATCTCCCAGCTCGCAGGAAGAGCCAGGCCCTTCTCTGGCCCCAAGATTGGTCAAGGCCTTCCCCTCTAAACACTCATCCAGGGCAGGAAATTTCCCAGGTGTCAACAAGCACCAGCCCAGGCCTTTCCAGGGGTGCCTCGGTGAGCCCTATCTCCCCAAAGGGGGCAATGCACAGAGGTGGAGCTCTCCACCCTGCTGTCTAGACAGGCTGGCTACTGTCTAGTAGTGGACAGTGCTTTACTGTCTACCAGTAGGTGTGCTTTCTCGGGAGGCTTTCCGGGGCCCCGAAGTCCCTTCTCACGCCCCCGCATCAATGGCCGAGCTCTGGAACCCTCCCACACAGTGAGTTCTCCTCATAGAAGAGTTTGGCCTGGAGCCAGGTTGCTGAGTCCTGGATCTCTCCTGATTATTCCGCAACCTCCACAGATCAGGTCTCCACACCGTCATCTGTCTGTCTCTACAGGGAGTCAGGGCAGGCTGATGAAGGCACCATGCTGAGAGGGAAGGAACAGGAGCCCCAAGATCCAGATCAGAGCACCACTGAGCCTAAGAGCCAGGCACTGGGCTGGCAGTGGCAGCCCAGCAGCCCGGTGCTGCTGGTGCTGAAGGGCCTGGCCCCACAGTCTCTCCCCCAGGACCCAAGGACTCTGCCCAACCCCAGCTCCACCCCAGGCACCTTGCTCGGCTGGAAGTCCAGGGCCACATAGTGGATGGTACCAGTGCTCCTTGGCAGGGCTGAACTGCTGGTGCCACCAGAAACAGGAAATGCAGATGCCGCGTTCTGCTGTCACAAGGAGGAAAATCCTACAAATGAGTTTAGGACACAGACAGACGCAGTACCCAGTGGATCACACCTGTGGGTGTAGCTGCGAGCCTACTGGGTCCTACTCTGAGCCATGCACTGGGGCACTCTCTGCTCATTCAAACCCTCTCAGCAGTCCTGTGAGCCAGGTGTTACTACTGTGCCTCTCCTTCATACACTAGATGCTGCACCCAATCAGTCCTCTGAAACTCCCACCCATGGCCCAGAGTGGGTCCATCCTACAAAGCAGCTGCCTCCCCCTCCAGCTCCCAGAGATCAGCAGTGCCTACCACCCCAGGCTGCACAGAGCCTACTCCCTTGGCAGCTCTCCAGGAGACACACAGGGTCCCCCAGCCTCCTCCCTAGAAGGCTGCCACCTTGCTGGGACATTCCTGAAGTGTGGCTCTGGTGAGAAAAGCGGCCGCCCTGGGCTCTGGGTTTTGGCTGCTTTGCTGGTTGGCTGGCTCATTCTTCCGGTATCTATGCAGCAACTATCAAGTGCTGGTCATGATGCCCTCTTCAGTGCCAATCTAACGGGTATCCTGTGGTCCACCTGCATCTCCACGTCTCTCACAGCCCTCACCACGGTGAGGCATGTACATTTGTGTCTCCCCATGGCCAAGAAGACACCTCCAACTCTGCCTCTTCCAGGGCAGGGCACCACGTGTATCACCATCATGAGGGCGAGGCGGGCTGCCTCTGTTCTTCAAGTTCCAGACTTCCTTAAGGGGAAACCATCATATTCCTAACCCTGATGATTGCCTGATACGCCTGTGCTCAAGAAGGCTTGCAACAGGAGACCAAATCACACCTGACTGGGCTGGGGTGAGTCAGCTGGGGTAGCTAAGCTGGGAACCAGGGACGTGAGTGTGGGTCTCAGGGGACTCTGATAGGAGGCTTACAGTGACCCCCAAGGACTCACCAAGAAAATATCTCTCTCTCCACTGTCTTCTGAGTCTGTGCTGGTGATGCTCTGCATGGAGATGGGGTATTGGGAGGAGCTGGAGTAAAAGGTGTGGCTGTCGTGGGAAGAAGGCAAGGAGTACATCCTGGGTGGGGCTCAGGGCTTCTGTCAGGGCTCCAGCCTCCAGATGGGCCCTGACTTGAAGCATCCAGACCTCACACTGTTACCAGATCAAGAACTGATGGGGCAGGGATCATTATTCCCCCTTTACAGATGAGAAGGCCGCCACGCCTCATGACACAGAGTCAAGATCAGCTATGTCCAGGTCAACATCAGCATCCAGTTTCCTGACCACAAGCCAATGGCCATCCCACTCACTCCACCAACCCGAACCAAGCTCCTGTTTCCACTGACAGACACTCACCTGGTCCCAGACCAGGACTCTGTGACAGGTGGCTTGAAGGAGAGCTCACTGATGACCCTGTTGTTTCTCAGGTTGGATGGTGTTGGATTTGCTGGAGCAGAAAAGAACCTTCAGTCATCAGCCAGGTCTGGTTCCCTGTGGCCAGAATGATCCCCACCCAGGTATCCCACTCCTTCCTTGAACCCCGTGCTGGGCCAAGGCCACAAGGTGAGGTCATAGCAGCCTGGAACCTGAACTCTAGCCCTTCTTCCTGGTCTACACGTGGAGGGCACAGACCAAACTTCACTGGACACCTGCTGTGAGCCAGGGCCACTGTCCCAGACACTCTCCTTCCAAAAAAACCCAGGAAGTAGGAGTTACTATCTTCATTTCACAGAGAAGAAAACTGAGGCTCAGAGAATTCACATGACTTGCCAAAGTCAGACGTTCCACATCCAGGATCCACCTGACCCCTAAGCGAATGAAGAGTCCCTGGACATTGTCAAGAGATAGAATGGGGAAAGACTTACCTTTCCGGTTAGGCTTGAGGCTGCGGTTGACAGGGGGCAGCTGGACCTCACGTCCCTGGCTGACGTCTTGGTGCACAGAAAGCTCCGTGAGTGGGAAGCCAAGCAGGTTAAAGCAAACAGGACATGAGCCCACAGTGGTGCAGACACCCTGAGAATCGCTGCCTGCTTGCTCCACAGCCACCAGGGTAGGGAAGCCTGGGTTCATGGGCACACAGCTGTCCTCAGAAGCAATGCTGTCCGACAAGCCCACGAGTGCTTTTCCTGGCTAGGAAGGGGAAAGTGAAAGAAACACAGCTATCACCAGCAAGAACAAGATAGGAATGAGAATTTCTAGACAAGGCCAAAAAGAGTCATGATTGGGTGTTTTGACGAAACTCTTGATCACCTTGGCTGGGGGCTGCTGTCTTCAGCAGCCACCAGAGGCCCAGACAGAAGAGCTCCAGCCAGGAACCCCATGCATGGGGCCCCTCTGGGCAGCCTCAGGGGTCAGACTTTGGAGCAGCTTCCATGACACAGTCACACGTAAAAGTGGAAGAGTTTTCAGTTCTTACAGGTCCTGGGAGGTCAGGGAGCACAGACAAAGAGAGCAACAGGAGAGAGGGTGGCAACTGGCAGTGTATCTTGCGGAATGGGGTGTGGATCACTTAATTAAGGTTGGAGTAAATGCCTGGATGATCCATTTAAAGGGAGCAGCAAGACAGTGGCGAGCCCAGTCTGCCGGCTGGGGGAGGTGAGTCTAA